GGGTGGGTACCCATGGGTTCGGGTTTTGTTGCCATCCCCTTACATTTTGTGATAAGCTGTTTGGAAATCCGTTTCTACTATCCCAGTCTCCTAGTCCTAGGTAAAAAAACCTTGTCCTTGAGCATTCCATACCAAACTCCACCTCCTTTAGTTCCCATTTAGCCCTCTCCCTCTTCACCGCTGCTAGTAAGATTTTTCCAAAAGCATCCCTTGACATCACCCTATAACATGTGCCTTCTACCGTTAGAATTATCGCATCGATGTTCATCTTGATCCATTCCCCCAAAGGCATTATCCATGTATATTCACAAGCTTTTCGCTCATACCACTCTTTTTATTGTATGATATGTACTCTTCTCATATCATCATCGCTTTTCCTGCTACATCTCATTCCTTCGGTATGTGATTACTGAATATATGGTTATTTCATTCATTCCATATGTTCTATAGCACCATTCTCATCTGTCCAATTAGGTCGCCATCTATAGCCTCCATGATTTCACAGAACCAACTTCTACACGTCAATTCACTTCCTATTTTGGACAGTGCCCTAATCTCAATAGGTCTCCATATTTGAGTTGTCCCTTGGAATCCTCTCAAAATGTGTTTATGAGTTTCTTCCAGGTTGATGAACGGGCATTTCATTGTTGCATCCTTTTTCCTTCTTTCAACTTTCTTTCCACTAGGAAGAATGTTGTTCACAAATCTCCATAGGAAAATCTTCACTTTTGGTGGTATGAGCATGACCAATTGTCAGAGTCTCTTCCAGTTCATAGGATCATATGCTTCCACCCGGCCTGTTCTCATAAGTTATATGTTCCAACATTGTATGCTTGGATGCTACTTTGTTTGGTGTACCAAAAGTTACAGGTTGTTCTGATACTGTCTAGAAACGAGACCTCTCAAAACTCCATCCTTGCTCATTTGTGGAAGATTGATGACTCGCTAAAATACTACTCCAGAGGGCCAAGTGTAACCAAAGTCCGAGAAGTAGTATAGTGGAAGTAAGTTTTAACTTGTGAAACCCAGGGTTATCAGGTCTACTATTACAGTGAACTAACTATTATCTAGCAAACATGTTGTAATATCAATTAACTAAAACTAAGTAACATAAATAAAGCAATTTGATTCAAAGTTCAGATATGAAAAAGTCACTTGAATATTTTTCCCCCTAGTTCTTAGCTAGGCCAATTTTATTTACTCACTACTTTCCTTCACTCAAAATTTAGACGATGGGGAGTCCAAAATTAGTTTGGAATCTAAAGCAAACCAAATCCTCTTGAATAGACTACTCGGAGGGAGATTATCCTCAGCTGAAAATAGAATACCAATGTAATACAATAACGACTCCCACTAGTGGATTGATATCCGGTAGAGAGCAATGAATCAGTTCACTATTCGTGCAATCAATTCACTATTTCCAATTGAAGATGCTCTATCAACATAATAAGGTATTCCCTCTCCTAGGTCAATCAATAATCGAAAGAGTGTGATCAAGGCTCAAACAATTCCTAAATAATACCTCAATTAGATATATCATGTATTATGTCAAGTTCAATGATCACTTGAGTCTGTGCATATTATTGTCAATGGTTAGCACGTGTCAATATCTACCCCATCCTAAGCCAAGCTTAACCTAAGATGACATTGTCGTATAGTGGTAATCAAGGTCGCATTTTACTCGGGTCCCAGTACCCTAGCCTACTTCTCACCTAGTTGTTAATTAGTTAATCAGACTTGGAGGTTTGAGTGGAGGATTTGAGGGAATTACTAGTTTAGAGATTGAATAAAGCTAAAAGCAGGTACTTCGGGGGAACTATCCCTCACCCTAGCCTAGAGCTAGTATGTATATCTAGATACTTAGGGTTATCAAATGTGGTGAGCGAGCTCTTTTCTGTGGGCTTTCGTGGTTATTCACAAGCCTCCAAGTACGCCTCCCCTAAACCTATACATAGTTACTTCGATTTAAGCTATCGTATCTGGGACATTAAGCTCGTAGCTCCTTTCAAGGGATACTATTCATCCGTAGGATACTATTCATACATCTAACCTTAATTTGCTTGATGGCGCATACCCGTCTAACTCTAAAACTCCAAACCCAGCGTAGAAGGGTAAAGTAGGCTAGTAGAGAAGATTAGGGCGACTTACCCAAACACAATAAAGTTATGGAAGTATTAAAATCAACTGGATAAACACATTCATTCATTAAAAACCTAAAATATCCATACATACATAGTAAACCCTAAAACAAGGGTTTCGGGTTTAGAACCCCTAGTACCTTAGAGGACTACTCCATAAAAGAGGAAAGAAGATACATAAAAGAAATTGAAGAAGACTTGAGGTTGAGGAAGATGCCTCCTCTCTTATAGCTCCTTCTCCTCTTCTCCTTCTTTCAGCTTCTCTCTCTTTTCTCTCTCTAAAACCAGAAATCTTTCTCTCAAAATTAGCTCACTTAAAAGGGGGAAGGGGTCTCCTATTTATAAGCAATCAGAAGACGGACAAATTTGCGCCCAGAAGGTCAAAAATTGCGGGCGGGATCTTTAGAGGTGAGGCTGCGATCTTGAAACGCAGTCGGTCTGCCCTTCGGAATTGAAGAGATCGCGAGCTGACTTCGCAGTCACGATCCGCTAGCTGACTTCCCGGTCACGATCTGCGAGTCGCGACCGCGATCTTACTCGTGGTAAAAAAGCACTATGGCCGTGATTCACCTAGGGAAACTCTCTGTTTCTCCTCGGCTGATACATCACGAAGTTCGCGTCCCGAGCCCTCTAATTCGCGGCCATGATCTTGGGCTTTCAAACCACGATCTTTAGCTAGACTTCGTGTTCTAGGATCTTGACCGTGATTCACTTCTAGGCCACAATATGCAATCTTCTGACCCCTTGCTACACTTGTGACCTTGTTTTGTAACTAATTCACATATATCGTCTAATACACCCTAAAATCATGTCAAATTCAAATAGGAACATAATAGGGATGCAATTGACTGTAACTAATTCACATATATCGTCTAACACACCCTAAAATCATGTCAAATTCAAATAGGAACATAATAGGGATGCAATTGACGATGTTTAAGCATTTATGCACATTAATTTGCATGAAACAAACCTGAATATGAAGGGTAAATAACACCAATTTAGGTGTTATCAAACTCCCCCACACTTAGGCATTTGTTTATCCCCAAGCAAACATACTCAAACCTAATGTAACATGATAGACAAATCAATGGGAATGCACTCTAGTTCTTCATTGCATAAAGAAGAATACACGGAGATGAATAAACGTTACTATCATCTTACTGTGCAAGGACTAATTCTCGGGTGAGGACCATACCTACTACCTTAAGACGAACATTCAAGGTGTGCTCTGGGGGATTATCTGACAAAAATAAGCACAAGAACTCTCGAAGGTGCTTTTTATTCTTTCTTATGTTTAGGAGTTGTCGTTTATTGGTATCTTTTTTTCAACGTTGATGCGCATTGCACCAAGCTTTTGCAATTCTTTTGCAAACAAGCATCTCTCCCTCATGACTAAGAGCGGATGAATCATAGCCTTCCCTCTCAAGGTCACATTTGAGGAAGTTGATGGGCGGATTCATCTTAGTCCAAGCACCACTTCCGAGGTGATTCCGAGGTGGTCGCCAACCAGATCCGGCAAGGTGTCCTAAAAGGTTCATTCGAAGGTCTGATGCTCTAGGAGTGTCGTCAGTTCCTAGACTCTTTGTTAGTTTGTATAGAGGTTTGGGCGGTTCCTAGAGCCGCCAACAATGCTGCCCATAAAGTGGCGCGTAAAGCACTTTATTGTCTCTCCTAGAGTTAAAGTCTTTCGACTTTATTGGATGGCTTCACTAGGGTGTCGCTTGTAGTGGGTTTCTGGGTAGTTTTGTCTGTATAATTATTGTCCTCTTTTGATATCACTCGAAAATAAATAAAACTGAATTAACTAACTTAAATTAATAAATTAAAGTATCTACCTCATTTGACCATACCAAATCGGATTGATTTTCACCATCCACCCATAGTAATTAGTTGTCTAATGGAGCCGGATTTAATGTTCTCGGTAGCGGCATCAATGCATATTGATCATACATTGTAGGAGATGCAAAAGAAAAAAAAATTAAAAGAAGAACTAAAAAAATAGAGCCGCCGGCACAAGCGGGCTCGCCGTAGTGTCGCGTAGATAACCGACAGATTGTCGGAGTCACGTTGTTGGTACTGGGGAAAGAAAAAACAAACTTACGGCGAGCAACCATTTGTTGTCCGCCACCTCTGCCTCTCCTTCGACCTCCACGGCCACAGTTTTTGCCATTGTGCCCTCTACCGCCGTCGATTTCTTCGTCTTCCAATGTCAGCGACAAGGTTAAGAATGGTGGAAAGGGAAGGAGGAAGAAGGATCGTCATCCTCTTTTGCTCGCTGGTGAAAGGCTCACTTTAGTTCTGACGACTTTTGGTAGGGAGGGAAAGAAGAAGACGCTCGTGTGGTGAAGAAGGTAGTTTTAAAAGAGTTTTGGGCGACAGACAAACTAATTGGGGCGAAAGAAAGACAAATTGGTATTCGCGCCCTAATACATTTTTAAAAATAGATTGAAAAATATTTTATCAATATTTTGGATAATTTTTGGATTAATATTATTTTGTGCCACTCTACTGTAGTAATAACAAACAAACCTCTACTAAATTTTTGCACAACATAACATACCATTCTAATATTAAAACGTAACGAGTTTACCCTTCCATCTAATTATATGTTAAGTGGCTGTTGTGAAATGACCTGATTGCCCCTCATTTAAACCTAAACACTCATAATTTTGAATTAGTTATTTTATTATGTGCCAAATAAATAAATTATTAAAAAATTAAACCCCTAAACCAATTCACACCAGAACCGTCTCCCCTGAACTAATTCACACGCCCTTGAGCTCGGTGGCGGCGGCTGCTCCTAGCATCTCCTTGTCGACAGCTGGAGTAGAGAGAACCAGTCGATAGGCGACCAGACGGCTAGATGTTCCGACGCCATCCATTTCTCCCCTCGATCACACAACAGGGGCCAGCCTCCCAGCATCCGTTTCTCAAACGTGAGTGTTGGTATCCGCCAAAAGGGATTGAAATCGATGGAATTGCAACTCCGGTACTCGAGAAGCCCAGCCACCGCCGAAGACGAGCATCCCCCTGAGGGTCGCACCTGTCCTTGACAAATGACATGTATCTCTAGCGCCGCAATGAATTCTCACACTGCGTCAATAGAATTTGGCGACGGAAAGATTGCCGCTTCATCTCCTCATCCTAGGCGTCCAAACGCTTCATGGCCGAGAATCCTGGGCGTAATCTCGAGGAAATCCTTCATCTTCCAGAAAGTGATGTCGCTCTGGCAAAGCATGACAAAATTCTGGAAATTAAACAACAAGAACACTCAATTTTACGTGGTTTCCCTGAGATTCAGGACTAGTCCACGGGAGAGGTAGAACTCTCCGGAGTCAATCTTATTCAGCGTAAGTCCTTGTACAACAGAGATACATTTTATATATATATGTTGTGGCACAGCTATAATGCAACCCTAGCCGGTCTATCTAGGTAACTCACGTAATAAAACACATTTACTAAAAGCTACCTAGATAAGACTGAGTCGTCAATTAACACCCTCCCTCAAACTGATGGTGTTTTCGCAACATCAGTTTGTTAGACAAATACCAATGACGACTTGAACCCACAACCTTTGTCAATAAATCTGCAGTCTGATCATCTGTTGACAAATAACTTAGCTGAATCACTCCTTCGGACACGAGTTCCCTTATGTAATGAACATGAGTCTCAATGTGCTTAGTCCGATCGTGCAAGACAGGATTGGTGGCTATCCTGATTGCACTAGTATTATCACCATAAAGCTTCATAGGCATTTTACACGTCACACCCAGGTCATCTAGAAGCCGCTGCAACCATACCAGCTGCAAGCTCACCTCCGACATCGATCTGTATTCTGCTTCTGTAGATGACTTGGACACTCTGTCTTGTTTCTTACAACGCCAGGATACAAAAGAGCTTCCAAAACGAACACACCAACCTGACGTAGACCTTCTAGTATCTAGACAACCTGCGAAATCTGCATCAGCAAAGGCCTCTAGCACGGGTTCCCCTTGGCACGGAAAGAAGAGGCCTACATCCTGCGTACCCTGTAAATATCGGAGAATCCTGTGAACGGCATCCAAGTGCATGGATCTAGCAATCCCCATGTATTGACTCACCACTTGTACTGCATAAGCTATGTCGGGACCAGTGGAGCTCAAATATCGTAGACTGCCAACTATAGTGCGATAGTTGGTTTGATCATCCAACAAGTCGCCACTCATCCGGCTTAACTTAAGATTCTGTTCCATCGGAGTCGCACATGGTTTGCAATTATCATATTGATGTTCAGCCAACAAATCGCGAACATACTTCCGCTGCCCCACGAAAATACCATGTTGCGTCCGTGCTATCTCCAGCCCGAGGAAGTAAGAAACATCACCCAACTCTTTTAGCTTAAATGCTCGATGCAATGTCTCTGTTAACTCCTTGATCCCCTCACGATCGCTCCCGGATATGATCATATCATCAACGTACAGTAATAAAACTGTGAGACCGTGTACTGTAGTCCTTAAGAAGAGAGAAGGATCATTCTTACTCTGAGTGAACCCTGCCTGAATGACTGTACCATGAAATTTCTCAAACCAAGCTCGTGGTGCTTGTTTCAGACCATAAAGAGAGCGCTTGAGACGATAGACAAGATTTGGACCACCTTTGGAGTATCCAGGTGGACACGCCATATAAATAGTCTCCTTAATATCACCATGGAGAAAAGCGTTCTTGACATCTAACTGCACAAGGGGCCAGTCTTTCATAGCAGCTACTGCTAGAACACACCTCACCGTCTGCATCTTAGCCACCGGAGCAAAGGTCTCCTCGTAATCAATCCCATATTCTTGACTAAATCCCTGGGCTACTACTCGGGCCTTAAACCGTTCAAGTGTTCCATCCGGTCTCATCTTCACATTATACACCCATTTGCTGTCTACCACCGACATCTCCGGTGTACGTGGAACAATGTCCCATGTCTCATTTGCCTCAAGGGCATCCACTTCTTCGGTCATGGTTGCGTCTCATTCTGGAATCCCACATGCCTGCTTATAATTTGCAGGAATGGGAATGGGATTGACATTAAAAGCCACGTAGTCATCAAGACGAGGAGGTGGCTGGCCGCGTGTCACACGAGTAGACCGGCGCGGGGCAACCACTTGGTCATGTGATGCGGAAATTCCTGCGCTAGCTGAAAAGGAAGCCGAGGAAGAGCTGCCACTACTAGGCAAGCTGTTGCCACTGCTGGATGATGACGAGCTGCTCGCATGGGACAAGTTGCCTCCACTAAATGAACTGGAAGTGCCACTTTCGCCAGGTGAAGGAGTGTTGCTTTCATCCGGACCCAAAGAGGAACTATTATCATTTAAAGACTCACCTTGGGACACAGAATTGCTCCTTCCCATAAGCGAAGTCTCCCCAGCCACAAGTAAGTCCAGAAAAGAAAGACTACGTGCAAATTGGTCACGAGAAGCTGTAGGAGTTGAGTAATACATCACCTTTTCCATGAAGAGCACATGATAAGCAATCCGTTGTTGACCTTCCGGATCATAGCAGAGATACCCTTTGTGATGATCACTGTACCCCAAGAAGACACACCGAGCAGTTTTGGGACTCAATTTGTGACGCTCCCGCTTGGGAAGTAGAACAAAACATAAGCAACCAAATATACGAAGAGCACGATAATCAGGAACACGAGAGTACAGCTTCTGGTACAGAGAGATATCATCAAGGACAGGAGTAATCTGGCGATTAATCAGGTACACAACTGTGTTAGCAGCTTCAACCCAAAACCTCGCAGGAACACTGGATTGAAATAAAAGTGCACGAGTAAGCTCAAGGACATGGCGATTCTTCCGCTCAACTATGCCATTTTGCTGAGACACTCCTGGACACGACTGTTGATTGAGAATTCCTTGAGAACGATAGAAGTCAAGAAGATCATTGGAACTAAACTCACCACCGGGATCAGAACGAATGATCTTAATCGTTTTCTGAAACTGAGTCTGGATCATCCGGATAAAATCCTGGGCATGGGTGATTAACTCTGACTTCTGACGAAGGAAATAAATCCAAGTATACCTAGTGTGATGATCGATAAACAAAGCAAAATATAAGAAACCATTACGGGATGAAACTGGCGACGGGCCCCAAAGATCAGTATGCACTAGGTCAAACGGAGCTCCATACTCGGTAGAACTAGTAGCAAAGGAACGTTGCGAAGCCTTTGCTTCGATGCAGCTTATGCAAGACGGAGGAGAGAAGGAGGAAGACGAAAACTTTCCAGGTAACAAACTGAGATTAAACATCTGTAACAATCATGCTGAATGAGGATGCCCCAAACGGCAGTGCCACAAATCCCAAACTGAATCTCTTACATCCCGACGTAAAGAATGTTTAACAGAAATAACCGGAAAGGAAGATAAATGAGAACTATCATCTAGAGTATCCAAGTCCTCAACACGTGTCCGGACAACATCCTGGAGAGTTCCCTCATGCCGATCAAACCCATGCTGGTCTCTAGCTCGCAGCCTATCCATGGCATAAATCCGTCCTTCCTTACGGCCCGGCCGAGTTCCATCCCCGTCTTCGAGTCCTGCACCACACACCCATGATTATCAAACTTTATATGACAACCCCTTCTGCCAACTGTCCGACCGAGATCAAATTAGGAACTAGACTAGGAACATGAAGAGTGCGAGAAAGCTGAACACACGAGTCCTCTACTCGACCAACCCCGGTAATAGGAAGAACCGCTCCATTTGCCACTTGCAACCGTTAAGAGACCGGGCGAATAGATTGAAAGGCGCTACCATGGTTAGTCATATGATGGAAAGCAGCAGAATCAAGAAGCCAACGATGAGAAGTACCTGAACCAGAATCAACAGAGAATGCCGAACTCATCACCTTCTGAATAGCAGCGTGAATAAGCTGGGTGAGCTCCGACTTAGAGACACCACCTGTGGAGGAGGTGATTGACGCGGGAGCAGCAATGGGAGGAGCCATCGTCGTAGCATAGGCAGTAGCAGGAGGAGGTGGATCAGACGAACGAGAAGAAGGGAGACAATCGCGCTGACGACAGTCGCTGAGAATATGACCAGCCTGCTTGCAATAATTACACCAGTTTCTCTTCTTGCAAAACGGTTGAATATGACCAGGCTCACGACAGTAATGACAGATACGAGCGGTATGAGGCCCTTGACCGCCTGGAGTAGAGTGAAACTGGGGCCTGTAGGAGGACGCAGCAAAGGCGGCTGATTGATCAATGGACTGAACAGAAGCGGAATCGATCCGAGCTTGACTTTTGAGTCGGATCTCCTCACGATAGAGTTCACCTAAGACAGTGTCCAAGTCAGTCACATTTCGATGAAGCAGAGAGGCACGAATAGGCTCATATTCGCGGCGGAGCTTCATCAAAAAATGCATAGTCCGAGAACGAGTGCGTTCAGCAATGGTGAGAGCCGGGGTAGGAGTATCGGAGAGAGAAGCAGACAACAAATCACTCTCTGTCCATAAATGCTTTGCCGCCTAATAATAAGACCTGATATCCATATTGCCCTGGGACAGACCTGCAAGAGCAATTTCAAGTTCGAACTGGCGTGAAGCATTGGCCTGAGAGTTTGTCGCAGTCAAGTGTTTCCGCATGGCACTGGCAGTAGTACAACGACGCAGACTAAGACCGGTGGGAACATCAACACAGGAGACAATCCAGGTAATAACCTAGGCATTATCGGCTTCCCAATCAGCCAAAGCCTTCTCATCGGTGGGGGCAGGTTATGGCCGAGTCCCGAGCAGAATGGGTAGCAGACGCTTGCCCTGAACGAACATGCGGAATTGGAATTCCCAAAGCAGGAAATTCTTCCCGTCGAAGCGAGTGGTAACCAGATCACTTTTCACTAACTCCATTATGATGCAATAGACAAATGGACAAGAGGCACAAAGATATGAAAGCCAAATCAAGACAAACCAGCGAAGATGGAGAAGCAGCAGAGACCAAATCCCCTCAGAGAGTAGCCGAGAAACCAGAGCACCAAGACAAGCAGCCGAAATAAACAATAGGGCACCGAAAAGAATCAGGACAAGAAGCCGACAATAGGGTACCGAGTAAGAACAGCCGATACTAACCAAATAGAGAGCAGCAGAGAGAACCAGATCGCAAATAAAGAGCAGCCGAGAAAATACCAAGCGACAACTGAGCGGCGGAACGACACAAAGCAGCTGGAGATGAAAGACAAAGCAGCGGAAAACAGGAGGATAAAATCCCAAATAAGCAGCCGACGATCCTCAGATGAGAGGCTCTGATACCATGACAAAATTCTAGAAATTAAACAACAAGAACACTCAATTTACGTGGTTTCCCTGAGATTCAGGACTAGTCCACGGGAGAGGTAGAACTCTCCGGAGTCAATCTTATTCAGCGTAAGTCCTTGTACAACAGAGATACATTATATATATATATATATATATATATATATATGGTGGCTTCTATGGTACCCCGGGTGAAATCCGGGGTACCGCATACCTCGAGTATGTAAACTCTATCTAGACCTCGAATTACCAGGATTTTTGTGTCTGATATTATACCCTAACCCTTAATGAGTGAACCCTAGGTCATAATTATCTAAATCATAATCTATAAACCCTAAGATGGTGCATTCATTTTTGTGCCTATATTTGGATGAATCATAACCGTTGTTTATTATTTCTAATTAAATTGATCTTGGAGTATAAGATTGGGAGAGTTAACACCTAGATTTTGATCTTTAAGTGTTAAAGTATAGTATCATGTCCGAAAGATTGGTCAATTCAAGGTCTAGATAGTGTTTTCATACTCAAGGTATGTGGTACCCCGAATTTCACATAGGATACCGTAGAACTCGCCATATATATATATGTTGTGGCACAGCTATAATGCAACCCTAGCCGGTCTATCTAGGTAACTCCCATAATAAAACACATTTACTAAAAGCTACCTAGATAAGACTAAGTTGTCAGTTAACAAAGCAACGTGCAGACGATTCAAATCCGGGTCTCATGCGTTTGCGGCAGAGCCACCATTACCTCCACCACTAGCAGTGCTTCCGCCTCGCGACAAACATCAGCTTCTCTTCCCTTCATCTCGCTTCGGAACTCCTTGATAGAAGTTTGTTTCTTCTAATTGAGAAGTATATGCTATTCAGATGTTCTCTCGAATAAGTGAGTGTGAATTAATTTGGGGATTTGGTTTGTTAATTGATTTATTTGGGACATAATAAATAAGTAAAACTGGAATTAGGTCATTTTGTAGTCACTTTAATGACCACTCAACAATTTTTTTTTTATAAAATCGGCCCATTTTGAATAATTATTCAAATTCATGTGTTACAGAGCCATCAGCTAATAGTTGAGGTACCAAAAAAATTGGGGGACGATTAAACCAAATTTTTTATTCTTTTGGTCGACATCGAACTTTTGTCATCACGTGAGCACTTCCATTTCCTTTCCGACCCCAAAATCTCCATCGAACATTTCCTTCCTCCATAGCCAGCTCTCGGATTTCATCACAGATCCCTTCTACCTCCCAGATCGTCGTCTCCTTCCGCTCCAGCTTTTGAATCACCGATTTACAGTCCGTCTCCATAAGCAGCGACAAATATTGGTGTACTTTAGCTAGCCTCAAACCCCAGATTAGGGCAAGTGGTTCTATCATTTCAGCATGCCACTTTGTTCTTATTCTATGAACCACCGCCATCAGAAATTCCCCTCATCGTTGCGGATAACCAAACCACCCAGTACCCTCTTCGCCCAAAGTCGCCGCGTCCGTGTGAAATTTGAAGGACCCCTGTGTGTGTGCTGGGGGGGGGGGGGTCATCCAATTTGTGATTTCACAGAATCTTGACCCCTTAGGCCTGCAACTATTGATACTCTTCCAGGTGATTCTGAGCTCTCATCTCCAACTTTGAATTGTTGAACAAATGGTTGTTTCGCTCCTTCCATAGATTCCACAAGGTGATCAGTATTGTAGTTAGCTCTTCTTTGCTTGTTCCTTTGATTAGGTTACAGAGCCATTCTGCGCAGTTTTTTCCTTCGCCCCTCAAGAAAAATTTTGCCAGATTGCTTGGCCTCCATACTCTACTTGCCCAGTCACAATCCCTAGTAATGTGTTATTGAGTTTCCACTAGCCCATAGAAGGGGCATTCATCATGTGCCTCCGGGATCCTCTGCTTAGATTTTCCCCTATAGGTAGGATGTTACTTCCCCATCGCCAGACAAAAATTTGAACCTTTGGGGGTAGTTGAACTAGCCATAGTTATTTCCATTCAATTGGGACATAGTGTTCCACTTGATCACCCACTTGCTTTTTCCTCCATTCTTTGTATCCTGAGCGAAGTGAGTATTTACATGTTCTCTCCCTACCCCAGACTCTTATATCTGGCATTGGGTGAAAAGGAATTGAGATTTGGTTGATCATGTCGCGATCTTCTGGTTGGAAATTTGCTTGCAGAAGGTTGTTTTCCCATGATCTGGTGTCCTGATAAATTAATCTTGAAACCTTTTTTGTGATTCCTAGCCCAGTTACTTGTGTCTTCGCTCGATAATCAGCAGTTGTTGGAGTCCGGTGATCTCACCAATTTCTTACACTTTCTCCATTGTGAACCTTCTTTGACAAGTGCTTGAGCTGTTATTAGACTCCGCCAGATATAACTAGGGTTTGTTCCCATCTCAGCATCCAAAATGCAACAATGAGGGTAGTATTTGGCTTTGAGCACACGTGCCACTAGTGAAGTTGGGTTTTGGAGTAGTTTCCAGACTTGTCATCCAAGCAGGGCAATGTTAAAGCCATGTAGGTTTCAAAATCACATCCCTGCCTCGTACTTGGGGGGACATAGTTTATCCCAACTCATCCAATGAATCTGCTTCTCTTCTCTTTTCTATCCCCACCAGAAACTTGCAATCATGCTTTGGATCTCTCGAATCACTCATATAGGGATCTGAAACACTGACATGGCATAAAACATATGCGCTTGTGCCACAGCCTTAATGAGGACTTCTGATAACGATGTAATTGCACATATTTGCGCCCCTAGTTCTTATCCGTTTGAGGGGCATAGTCGTGTATTTTTGGCCTATTTTACGCCGGGTTGTGCTATTTTGTCATATTTCAGGTCCCAGGCGTCAAAGGAAAGGCTAAGCACGAGTTTCGGGGCATTCGGAAGTCATTTCGTCGAGATGGAGCCAAAATACGGGCACACCTAAAACAGAACACGGCCGTGTTCTGTGGCCGTGCTTTTACTGCCAAGAGCTAATTGAGTTTGGCAAATTCAAGCTGCAAACACGGGCTGAAAGCACGGCCGTGTCCACCCAAAGCACGGCCGTGTCCACCCAAAGCACGGCCGTGTCCTCCCTAAAGCACGGCCGTGTTTCTCCCAACACAATGGCCGTGTAATTAACCCTAGCCAAAGCACGGGCGGGCTGAGGCAAAGCACGGTCGTGCCCTCGACCGTGCTTTGGCCACTGATGCCCTTTTAAGCAGATTTCCGCCAAAATAGAAGGGGATTCGAGTTTTGAGAGATATAGAGCGATTCCTAGAGAGAGAAAGCGACGAACAAGAGTCTCCAAGTGCCCTAGCTTGATCTTTATCACCATTGGAGGCCAGTTTGAGCTTGGAGAAGTGCCGATCAACGTCCAGAAGCAGAAATCCATCCTTCACAGTATGAATTCCGCGTCTGATTCTGCTTTTGCTTCTTTCTCCATGGAGTAGTTCTCCCATTCATCTGGCTATGGAGAACCCTAGATTTGTATGTTAGGTTTGATTGTATGAACCCAAGTACTGATTCTATGATTTGATTAGATTCGATTGAGGTTTGAATGATTGAATGACTTGAATCCTGATCAAATTCCTGTTGTTTCTGCTTTAACCTAGAATGAGAATATCTGCCTAGGTTGATAGAGCATCCTTGATTGAAGGTAGGGAGTTGGTGACTTTAGTCGAGGAGCCAACTCACTATTCTGTACCGAATTCACTCCGGTAGTGGAGGTTTTGTTTGTTAAGGCCTCAATCTGTTTACTCCGGTGGAGGTTGGTCGCCCGCTAGAGACTCAGATTGAGAGGGTCTGAAGACCTTTAGTCGAGACTTCAGGCTGTTTAAGAACCTTCCGCAGTATAACTATCATAGAAACTGAACTTGGTAATTACAATCCGGCTTAACTGCAGTCTAGGGGGAACCATATCCGGGTGACCTCTCTTAATCTGAATACAAAAATTTACTTGCTTTGTTAGTTTGTTAGTTTAGACTTGCATTAAAGTTTCATTGCTAGATAACAAGAATTCACCGAGTAGTCATCAAATCTAGGACCCGGGTTGACATTTAAACCCAAACCCGCTATACTACGCTTTAGGAAGTGGTTTCACTTGGCCAATTCCTGGAGTGACAGTAGAAGTGAGTCAAGTTTTTGGCGCCGTTGCCGGGGACGGCTAGGTTGTTGAAGAAAAGTGATTTATGTTATTTTAGCTTTTCTTTTTGCTTTGTTTTCTTTGTCCCACTTGTGCCTTCACGGGTTTGCTTGCTTGAGTGTGTGCAGGTAGTGCATGACCCGTAGCTAGTCAGGAGGTGTACTGCCGTTGAATCCAGAGATTGATCGCACCTGTCGCCAGCTCAGGAGACAACAGCGAGCAAGACTGGCTACGGAAGAGCGCATAGACGGCCACCTGAGTAGCGATTCTGAAGAAGAGTACGGGATGGACGGAGACTACAATCAGCACCAGGGGAATCCTCAGCAGGTTCCCCCGGTGAATCAGGTCCTGGGGTACAACCCCATACCCCAGGATCATGGGGTTCATCATCATCACCCGCCGCCGGGTCCCACCTTGGAGTACTACTACACTCCACGGATTGCTGACATCCGCCCGGTCATCCTCTACCCGCCTATTCCAGCAAACAACTTCGAGATCAAGCCATGCTGGATTCAGCTCATTACATCCTCTATCCAGCTCAATGGCTTGAAGGATGAGGAGGTCAGGGTGCATCTTTCCCGTTTTCTGCAGCTGACGAACGGGTTCAAGCTGAATGGTGTCCCTGATGATGCAATCCGCCTTCATCTCTTTCCCCATTCTCTGGCGGGGAATGCTAAGAGGTGGTTGGAGACCCAGCCCCCATTGTCCATCACCTCTTGGGATGATCTGGCTGACAAATTCGTGCACAGGTACTATCCGGCATCGAAGACTACAGAGATCCAGCGGGAGATCACTCACTTCCGCCAAGACTCCACCCGAGCTGAACCAGATGATCAGTACTTTGGCTGCCAGAGATCATTCTTGGGGATAGAGTAGCCAAGGCAGACAGTCCCGGGACCGTAGTGTGCACGCCATGGAGACCAGATCCGTGCTCGAGCAGCAGGTAGCTGAGCTAGAGCAGACATTGAAGCAGCCCAATAGTCTTATCCCGGGCAGAGGTTTGGCTGCACCTCCAGTAGCTCAATGTCAGTGGTGCGAGAGCTCCAATCACTTAGTGGAAGACTGCCAAGCTATGAGGGAGTCTACTACCCCCCAAGAGCAGTTGGACTTCATCGCCAATGCTCGGCGCCTCGACCCGTACAGCAATACCTATAATGAGGGGTGGCGCCAGCATCCCAACTTTGCCTGGAGCAGCAACACCACTAAACCACCTGGTTTCCCAGCAGGTGGTTTTCAGCAGAGACAGCCCTTCCAGGCTCGACAGGGGCCAGCCCCACAGCAGCAGCCCTACCACCCTAGGTAGGGGCAACCATTCCAACAGCCCCAGCATCAGTTTGTCGAGCCAGCAGCAGCCCCTGCCCCAGATGACCGGATGACAAAGCTGGAAAATATTCTAGCTTCATTCATTACTAGCACTCAGGTTGCTATCACGTCACTGGAGGCAGGTCAGCGGAACCAGGGTGCCATTTTGCAAGATCTGCAGACCCAGGTGGGCATCTTGGCCCGCCAAAACACTACCAGGGCACCGGGGACTCTGCCTGCCACCACTATTCCGAATCCTCGTGATCCTCACCAGCTCCAGCAGCTGGATGCCATTTTTACCAGGAGCGGTAAGACCATATCTGCTGATCCTGTCCCGGCTAGACAGGAGGAACCACTACCTGCTTCAGCACTTCCAGCCGACGATGCAGAAGTGCGGGTGGAGAAGGAAGCCCCTGCTCCCAAGCCACAACCAGTGGTTAAGGAGCATGTGCCGCAGCTTCCCTTCCCCACTCGCCTACACAAAGACAAGCTGGAGACTGAGTTTGCCAAGTTTATGGCAATGTTGAAGCAGCTCAACATCAGCATACCGTTCGTGGAGGCACTGTCGAAGATGCCCAAGTATGCCAAGTTCATGAAAGACCTTCTCACCGACAAGAAGAAACTTGGGGATCTTTCGACATTGATGCTCAGTGAAGAGTGTTCTGCTATCCTGCAGAACAAGCTTCCCGAGAAGCGAAAAGACCCAGGGAGTTTTACTATCCCTCTTACTATTGGCAGCATGCATGTAGGCAAGTCCTTGGCGGACCTAGGCGCTAGCATAAATGTCATGCCATATAAGTTGTATAAAAAGCTAGACCTAGGTGAACTTAGCCCTACTAGGATGAGCATTCAGCTAGCTGATCGTTCCATTGTGCATCCTAGGGGAATCATAGAGGATCTGCTTGTCAGTGTCGGTGCATTCACATATCCTGTTGATTTTGTTATTCTTGATATACATGAGGATGTGGATGTGCCATTGATTCTGGGGAGACCATTTCTTGCCACCGCCAAGGCACTTATTGATGTGCATGATGGTAAACTGATCCTGCGTGCGGGGAATGAACATACTACTTTTTCTGTGACAGAATTTGATCACTATGCTATGATTGCTGTCACGCCTGTACATGCCATTTCTGATCAGGTACACGAGCCTGTCGTGTATCCTTCTGCACCTCTCATTTTGCAGGACCCACCTATCATTCCTTCGCCGCCACTCCATCCAGTCTCGCCTCCGAACAAAAGGATCAAGGAGGAGTGGCGGCCGAAGCAGCAGGTTGCTAAACCTGCACGGAAGAAGGGTGGAGACCACTATGAGCTGGTCCCACCTCTTGCACCACGACCACCCTGGCCGTCCGGGTACTCACTCGCCTGCATCTTACCGGATGGCCAGGTCGAGCTGACCGATGATGGTGGTCGCATCCGTCGGGTGCATGGCCACAACCTGAAGCTGTACCTCAAGAGCGACGTGGATCCGCTCTTGGAGGCACCTGTTCCTTCACCTCCCTGAGTATCCGCCATGGGCGTCCAGCTAAAAGACGGTAAAGAAGCGCTTGTGGGGAGGCAACCCCACCACGGTTTGACTTTCTTTCTTGTGTTTTGAGTCGGATTGTAAACCGGTTTGATTTTGGTTTGTTTTCTTTTGTTTTGGATGATGTATTATTGGGCTGACCATTGGACCTAACATATTGTGTTTGAGCTCTTTGGTTTCCTTTAGCTGTGCTTGTCTTGACTGGTCCTCTATCCAATCCGCTTCACTCCGCCTGGCCCGCTTCCAGTCTCCTGCAGTCCGTGCATACCGGTAACATCGTTCCCCTTTCCCTTCCCTCTTCTCCATTGAGGGCAATGTCGATCTTAAGAGTGGGGGGATGTTTATCTTTTGACTGCATTAGATCTGTTTGTGTGCTTGGAGCCTAGTCCACTGTCCAAATTTTTAAATTTGAGGGCTCCAAGTACGTGTTTCCGTGCAATTGCCTGCTCAGTATGCTTTGAATTGACAGTCTTTATAGTAATATGCAACCTAGGGAGGTAGTGTAGCACTATGGAGGATGTTGATGCATTTAAGAAGTCTCATTTCTTCTTCATATTGTGTTGGTTGATTGAGTGAATTAGTGATCTTAGGACCCTTGAATTGTGTGGTGTTGTGGACTCTCTACCTGTCATGGACTCTTGTTTCTTGTTTTGAGTTTAACAGGTGCTCGAAAATGGGCTTCAAAATAACGTCTCCCGTGCGAATAGGGCGAAAGTGTGTAAGGGGAGACGGGAATCCGTTCCCAATTTCCACCTACTACCTCCAGCCCCCTTACATGTCTTTCCCCGCACGAGGCTCGAGACACCCGCTCCTGGCATGGCCGGTAAGAGCCGGGCTCCCGCAAAACCTCTGCTAGGCGGGAGCCCCCATTTTCTGAAAAGCAAGTTGGGACCCTTGAAAAAAAAGAAAAAAAAATTAACAGAAAACAAGCAAAACAGAAAGAAAAGGGGTTCCAACCATCTTCAAGAAGAAAATAGAGCACCTTGAAAAATGTGAGTCCATGATCCTTTGTTTTTGAGAATCTCTTCATCCACAATTCATTTGTCCTCTGTTCACTATTTGCCATGATGCCGACTCGATACTAGTGCTCTCGCCGAAGAAGCTATGAGATAACTTGTGCGTCGGTTGACCTCGTAAGCTGCTAAATGATCTAGGAAGTCCTCTACCTACGATCTGGGTTGTTTGTTGCTATAGAGGTCTGGAGAGTTGCATTGGTTTGAGTTAGGTTTGCTTGGGGACAAGCAAACGGTTAAGTGTGGGGGAATTTGATAACGATGTAATTGCACATATTTGCGCCCCTAGTTCTTATCCGTTTGAGGGGCATAGTCGTGTATTTTTGGCCTATTTTACGCCGGGTTGTGCTATTTTGTCATATTTTAGGTCCCAGGTGTCAAAGGAAAGGCTAAGCACGAGTTTCGGGGCATTCGGAAGTCATTTCGTCGAGCTGGAGCCAAAACACGGGCACACCTAAAACAGAACACGGCCGTGTTCTGTGTTCGTGCTTTTACTGCCGAGAGCTAATTGAGTTTGGCAAATTCAAGCTGCAAACACGGGCTGAAAGCACGGCCGTGTCCACCCAAAGCACGGCCGTGTCCTCCCTAAAGCACGGCCGTGTTTCTCCCAACACAATGGCCGTGTAATTAACCCTAGCCAAAGCACG